AGGATGGGGAGCCTGCAAATAGGATCCGACGGTCATGTTCGCTACTATGGCCCAACATCCCATTTTAATCTGCTAAGAATGCCTACCCCGGACAATCTGACTATACATCGCACTGTTCGACAAGATGGACCAGATGTGTTGGATCGTCTTGGTGTTAATAAAGAGATTCCCGCGGGTTTCGAGGAGCATCTGATCAACCTCTATTTTACTTGGCATAATCCGTTGTTTCAAGTGGTCGATAGGGAAATGTACGAGCCAGCAAGGCAACAGTGGCGCACGAAAATGGAGGAAACGCCTTACTACTCTGAGGCCCTGACAAACGCCATGTAAGAACTTAGTAGTTGGAATATACCGACATGATGGGAACGGTTCTGGCTAACTATCGAAGGTGCTGCCTTGGAGCGGCATTCGAGCCGCGATACCATCCCGATTTCATCACCTATCCTCGATCAGTGTCTGACTTCTTCGCTGATCGAGCGAAGGCACTTCTGGAGATCGAGCTGGACTCACCCACTCTGGCAACTATTCAAGCTATGGTCGTATTGAGCGCACACGATGTTGGATGCAAGAGGAACTCCAGAGGGTGGCTCTATAGTGGTAAGCACCTAATTACCAGCAATTGAGTTTCACAGTTGACAATCTGGTATAGGCATGGCCATGCGATTGGCCTTTGACTTGGGGTTGCACATTGACACGGCCCACTATGTGACTCAAGGATCGATTAATGCAGCTGAGGCGGAGCTACGTCGCACCGTCTTTTGGGGGACTTACACTGTGGACCAGTAAGACGAACACTCGTTCGATTCCTGATTATCCTTACTGATGAGTTTTGTCTCCAAGTCTCTGGGGGTTTTTCCTCGGCAGACCAGTCCGCATCAACATGGAGGATGTCACAGTCGACAAGCCCGGGCGCCATCAGGTGAAAGAGCACGACCGAAAATGGGTCCCTTACGGTCTTCCATCTCCACCACCTGCTTGTCTTGCGGCTCCTGTACCAGACCCAGTCGACCTTCTTAGCCAACATCGGATCCAACTTTGTGAGATCATGACTCCACTGGGCCATATCCTGTAAGCCCCACTAAACGTAATAGAAATTGGACCTTCTCACCCTAACCAGTCTAGTTATGGATGCTCCCGTGTCTCAAAACGTATTCTCCAGGGTTTGAACGAGAACACCACAGACCGACTCCTAAAATGGAAAGCCAACCTTCCCGAGGTGCTCCAAATCGATCTTGATAACACAGATGCCCCTGTCCTGCCTCATATCTTACTTCTCCAGTAAGCTAGTGAAACACAAGTTCTGAAATACATACACTGACATACAAACCAGCATGCAATATCACCAGACCATCATCCACGCCCACCGCCCATGGATCTCGAAACGCTACATCCAACCCCAACCACCCCAAGGCCCAGGCCACGTTCATGCTCGAAAGATGTGCATCGAATCCGCAATCGCCATCGCCCAACTTCTCCACCTCTACGAAGCCCAGTACACATTCCGTCGCATGAACGTTCAAGCCGTCTCCATCACCTGCTCCGCCGCACTAATGCTAATATTTGCCACAATAGCAAGCCTCAAACGTGAAGGAGATCAAGAAATATCAGCGTATCTTAGCGTTTGCTTCCGGGCACTGGAGGAATTCGGGATATCATGGGAGAGTGCCAAGAGGGCCCAGAACTTTCTCATAAGCCTGCAGCGACGATGGGAATCGCGGGTCCGTTCGTATAAATCTGCGAAGCGGGCTGTGTCTCAGTCACAAAGTCAATCGCAGTCTTTCTTTCCGACTTCAAAGAAACCCCGTATATCAACCGAGCCTGATCCTGGTTCAAGTGAGTCTGGCGTACTTGTTGGTGAAGAAGATGTTCGCGCGTTTGACCCGGCCGGGAGTGGGTTTCCCATTGATCCTGATATGATGGTGGAGTTGGATTGGTTGTGTACGGAGACTATGCAGGATATGTCTCCTTAAGCGTAACATGGATACATCTTCCTTTCTGAGGGCTTTCCGTTTTCTTTATTTTTCTTTTCTTTTCCTCCCTGCGAAGGGTAGTTGTATTCTGGCACACAGTGAATATATATAATTGAACCATATGCTCAAGCATGACCTAACACAAGCTCAAAATCCACAAGCGTCTGCATAGGTGTGCTTCTACTACTCCTATACTTGTATAATTTACGTTCATAATCTCGGACCGGCATATATTCTATAGTACTAGTATTTAGGTGCCATGCATTTCTTAAGGGTTCCAAGTCGTAGATGAGCACGGGTCACGTGTCAGGCTCATGATCGGGAATCGAACTCCGTTATCTTATCAGTCAAGTAACTCAACAGCACGCCTTTTTAGCCCACTGTCGGCATCAACATAGGACATTTGAACGGTTTTCTCTAATACTACATCGCAAAACAACTCTCTTCACCTTTCTAGTAACTTCAATGTCAGACAACAATCCCGTGATCAATATTCTCAAATCCTGGTAATCTTGGCACTATATAGATCTCAATACCTATTCGATGGTCCCCAACAGTCATAACATAACATGCCTAGTCCAAAACAAAAAAAAAGAAAAAAAAAAGAAAAAAAAAAATTCACTCTCTAGTCATGCACCAGCATATCATCGTCGCATTACTATCATAATCCGGAACAACATTCTTCACCTGCTCCACCGCAGGGTCCACAAAGAAGCTCGCCTCAAGCTTCCACCGCGTCTGGGTAGCAAGTTCAACATCGCGCCAAAACCCCTTTAGTGATTCGACATTATGCCGATAGTGCAAGGATTTGTCATCCACACCGTGTATAGGGTAATGCCCGCCTAGCCGGCTCCCAAGCTGGCGCCCAGTGATCATGACGCCTGGTTTGTCCCGACACAGCTGAACCAGACGGATCGCAGCCCGGACCTGCGTATCATAGTCCCATAAGTGGAGCAAAGAGCTTGCGAAGATGATATCGATTTTTCCTGCCAGGTTCTGGGATAACGGGCTCCCTGCGAACGCGGAATCGTCTGCGGTGAGATCACCCGTCGCAAAGGTCGCTTCCAGACGGTCTTTGTCTCGGAAGAGCTGGTATCCGAGGTCAATGAATACCTGCTCGAGGTCACACCCGAACAGCTGCTTGCCAGGGATGCCCTGATCTACCAGGTGACGGATCTCCTGTCCGAAACAGCACCCGGCGTCGAGGAAGTTGGTGGATGGATCTGCTCGTAGGCGTTCCAAAATTCGTTGGTAGAATGGCATACGGGGGAAATTGAAGGCCAAAAAGCGCAGCTGACCGATGCAGGGGTAGTGGTAGACTTTGAAGGCTTCGTCCCGCTAATGGAAGGGTTACTACATAGACACGGGGACTAGGCGAGGGGGACGTACCAGTGATAGCACATGTGGAATGACCTCTGACGGCGAAAGGCCGCTATACCTTTCCAGAAGGCTCTGGGCGTCAGCATTGATGCTTTCCACGTCCTTTTGGTAGATTGCCATTGGCGTGCTGTTCGTTGATTCCATGGTCGAGGGTTGGATATAAGAGGATGGGAGCAACGAAAAGAAGGTGTGAGAAGATGGTCTGATAGACAGATGAAGGGCCGAACCAGAGAGGTGAGAGACATAGCCAACGTGGGGGCGGAAGAGGGAAACAGGTTGGCGACGTCTTGATTCTTCTTAGACTGATAAGGACGCGCAGTTATTGAGCTTACTCTGGCTACTGACCAATCAGAGGTGGTTTACAGACCCCCATGCGTGGGTCCTTATTGCTTGTTCCAGTGCTACTTATGCACAACCCACTTGGTATAAATCAAGCTGATGTCTCGGTTCGGGGGTTCAGTTCACCCTCTTGTCCGTGTATCAGCCGTAGAAATAGTACAAGACTCGTGGTATGTTTATGTTAAATTGCTATCTATGCAAAAGAAAATTATCTAATAAGATTTGGAGATATATCCTTGGCACTCGTTGTAAATTATCTCCGCAACATCTTCTATTCCATCAGATTTAATGAATCCGTATCACTTGCACTCTGGTCACTAACACCCAAAGGGAAGTCGATATCAAAAGAAAGCAGTTTCTTGGGACAGGATGCAGCCGTGACTGGTTCCGCAAGAAGCTTATCCTTCTTCAGTGTCAGACGATTTAAGCTATACCCAACAGGTATTAGATCAGGCCCACCAAGCGATCTGGACATGGAATGCTTTAGGCAACGCCCTGCAGGCTCATGGACTCTATGCTGAGGCCTTCTCGTGAAATTACTGCATGTGGGTTAAAGATAAGATTATCCAGGTCGTCGATGCCTTTGATCATATTGCCCAGCTGTATGTATTGGCGATTGAGGTTGTCATCAATTTCTGCGAGCTTGAACGAAAGAGTAGTCGTGGTCGATGGGGTCCGGGTTTTCCCATATCTCGATCGTTAATGTAGTAGTAATAGTATATTAGAGGCGATTCTTCAACGCGTTACTCGGTCGTGCTTCCGTCGCTGTGATGGTTGATTAGGGATGGGTCAGGTCATTAGTTGCGTTAGGTTTTGTAGGGATGTTGGTCAATTATTGCCTTTATATGTTCTGTGGTGAGTGACGATTGCGGAGTTTGCAGCTACTAACGTAATGGTAGTACTAGGCTGACACAAAACTGGTAGTATATTGGCAATCTCCAGTATGGTCTCCTTTTTTCATGGGTTACTGAACACGTTTTTTCCATTGTCGTTCAAAAGATGATCTGAATTATCCGAACAAGGCGTAAGATCACCAAAGGGTGGGGAGATCGGGGGTTCATTTATTGCCACACCGTGAGCATCCTAGTTAGATATCACTGAAAGAGTTGTTCACCATGGGCGGTAATTGGCCACATTTTAAAGGACAAGCTCCGATGTACTACGAAAGAAGTACTGCAGTTTATAGACGGCAGCAGGTATTTTACGCCAATCTCCTTCCGAGTATCATTTTAATTAGGGAAACAATGGCGTTCGTGTCCGGCAATATTGTCTAATTATCTATCGCTCCAATGCAAAGTAAGTGTAAGGAAACTAGGACATCATCATGCCACTCCCCCCAATCCTCTCAAACCGGATTATACCCCTACAAACAACGCCGCTGCCTTTCAACCACGCATTCAGCTCACTAGGATGCTCGACATGGAAGATCAACATCGTTCCAAACATCAATAACGCATCAAAAATATACATGAACCACTCATGAGCCACCAAGTATCCACCATTTCCCTGCGCATATTCGATAAGACGGAAGATGGACCGAATGAGAATAAGAGCACTAGCACCATAGAGCGCATAAAGAAGTCGTCGCCAATTGAAGCCAGCACCGCCATCCGATACAGGATCACGGTTCATACGCATATGAAAGACTGCAGATGATATCATGAAGAAGCCGAAGAAAATAATTTGGACGACAAGACCGCCGACGATAATATTCGGTCCATTCTCAGCAATCTTGGATTTTACGCCCATCATTCCGGCTCCTAGTATCGTGCGTAAGCTGAGTGATCCAAGTAGATGTTATCATTTTGCGTCTTACCGGCGGATTGCATAAGGAAGGACAGGACATCTCCCGCCACGAAGATCTTGGTCATCCATTTGACGCGGATCATACTGTGCTTTTCTGCGCCTAAAACGACAATCATTCTGCCCAGTTCCATGTAGATGCTGGCTGCGAACAAGGCTGGTGCCACTAGAGTCAGGACGGCTTGTACGATGTACGGCCCAAGTGTCCAGTTGGGCGTTTGGTTACAGGCCACGGCACGTGCAACATATCCTATCCATTCAACTGTGATTGAGTGTTAGCACAATTCTGTCGCGTTATACTAGAGACACAGTTGAGATCAGCGCATACAGTAACCACCCAACAGGAACGGTATGAAAAACCACGTTCGTGTTCGAAAAAGCTGGTACGTATGTAATATTGTGGTTGCCAGAAAACATATTATGAAGATTACTGCTGCTGCAAGGGATGGGTCATAGTAGAACAGTTTAAAGCCGTCTCGTGGTTGTAGTGGTGTCATATTGCCTCCCCAAGCGAACCGATTTCTATTGTGAGTGGATTAATTGACTGAAGTTCTTTGAGCTTGATGACTGGATTCATATTTAAAGGTCGACGAGTGTTCCTGCCACATATTCTGGGCCGTTAAAAAAAGAAAAATTCCTAGAATACTATAAACACGATCTCGAAAACTATACCGAATGTAGAAAAGAGAACGCCAGGGGTGCTTAAAGGGGTTATGGTTCATCGCGTATGCGTATCCGAATTGTGGGGCCTCAGTGGGTCAACAGAATGTAGTTGCACAATTTACTGGGGATTGATTCACAACGGCCCTATCGAGGAATAACCTTAAGTTGTGCCATGCCAGATTAGCCAATACTTTTGTCTTGGACCAAGAGGAATCATGAATGGAGGACCCTTCATGGTAGGCAGCAACCGTTCGTTCCCGTTGTGGACATGAAGCATAAAATTTGCCAATATCTCCTGAACAGGGCTTAGACGTTTTTACGACCCATCTGTGCTGCGCCGGACCAATTGCCTCATGGGAATGCAAGCGAAGAAATCCCCACTGCCGAAAACCATGCCTAAAAAGGCATAGTTTACGGGGCTGATGCCAAGAATTGGCCTCCTTCGAAGAATCTCCGAAGTATCGATAGACTTGATACTCTCCAGTCTCCACTTCCCGACCCCGATAAGCCACATTGTTGGAAGCTGGTCGTTCGATCCCAGACAGATTTGACGTTCACCCTTTCTTTAAGCGAGGTGCCTGTCACCCCAACAAGGAAGGCGTCTAGAACTGATCGAAGCCATGCCGTCGCGACGGTCTCACACCAAATCCCACCATGGTTGCACTCAATGTAAACAGCGTCGAATCAAGTGTGACGAAGCTCGCCCTAGTTGTGGCTCCTGTCGAAAAAAGCAAATCGTCTGTGCCTTTCTTAGCCAGGTACCGTTACCCATAAACCCACTGCAACAGTATCCGCCGCAGTTAAGTAGCCCCAGCCCGGGGTTGCACTCCGCTGCAACAATTCCGCTGCTGGATCTCGAACTCCTGCACCATTGGCACACGACTACAGCCGCATCTTTAGCGCACAATAACTCAATCCAAGACTTGTTTCGCATTACTGTCCCGGATGTGGCCCTATCCTATCCGTTCTTGATGCACAGCCTGCTGGCTGTCTCGGCTTTGCATATTGGACACAAATGCCTACCGGAGCGCCGACGGAAATACACAGAAGCGGCCATTAGACACAACGATCTCTCTTTAACACTATGCACACCACTCCTCAGTAACGTGACATCGGAAAACTGTCATGCCCTGTTCGCCTTTTCGTGTCTTGTTGTTATCTTCGCTTATGCTGCAGAACATCCAACATCTTCCTTGGATACCCTGGATGAAGGCGACGTGGTTAAAGTCTTCAAGTTGGTCCGCGGAGCGGGCTCCATAGTGGGCCAAGCTCGTCCCTGGATCGAACAAGGTGAAATGCGCCAGTTGCTCGGTGCAGGTCGCAACTTACGGCAGGCATCTGCAAAGAGGCATGCCCACGAGCTGTATGCTCGATTAGAGGAGATAATAGAGCAACATACGAACGTTTCGTCGCATGATCGAAAGGTGGGCGCCACACTTTCCTCATCTCTCGAACATTTACGTGACGTGCTCAGACGGTGCACTACACTAGAAGATCCGGGTGCCCTTATGGCGTGGCCTGTCATGGTGCCTGCGGATTATCTCGACCTTCTATTGCAAGGAGAACCGACGTCTTTCGTGATACTTGGTCACTATGGAGTAGCGTTGGAGTTGTTAAAGGATGAGTGGTGGCTAGATGGCTGGGGTGAATTCTTAGTGAATCTTGCTTTGAAACGCTTGGGTACTGAAGCAAAGTCGAAGATGGTACGGTGTTTGGAGTTGCTCAGAGCAGATAGAGCGGAAAGAGCAGCTGGAGGTAACTCAACTGGGTGTTCATAAATGCATTATTCGGGACCTCCGTCTCATAGAATTTTCGTTTGATATGAATACGTGCTTCTGCTGAATTTAACGATCATTTTTTTTCGTTTTTTGAATCTCGATGTATGATCTAGACGTTGCATTTGGAATATGCTTGACGATGTGGATTGTCTTCTCAGCCCTTTGCTTATCGGTTCCACAACGATATTCACTTTTCTTCAGCTTTCCCATTTGCATGAATCATTGCCAAACTGAAATATGGATATTTATATAAATAAAAGAAAAGAAACGAAAATTTGCTGACAACTACTGGGTGTGAGTAGTGACCACGTCGTAGGACTTGATTGTATCACAAAGTAGCTATTGTGTCGCATCGGCTATACCAAAGACAGACTAGTGTGTAACAAACTACAACAAGCCAGCTTATGCTAGGCCAAGAAAGGCATAGACCACCTTGCATGTACCGAGAGAATAGTTAGCTAGCAGTTTCCAATGAATCCCTCGAATCATGCTTCAGCAAGTGATAGCCTTTAATCTTGACCAAACCATAAGCTACCGCTACAAGCTCGTGATATGTCTCGATACTTCCACGCAGAGGTCAAGACAAAACCGTTTTCTGATCAACCCGAGACCCAAGCAGCTCATACGTGAACCTCCGAGGGACAACCGTCTATACACTTGGGTGATCTTTGACGGTAACCTAGCTTTAACTTCAACTAGCGCATCGAGATAATGTTGATAAGGCCACCTATATACTGTGCTGATTTGAAGGTTGGACTAGATGATCTACATACTTCCAACCTAAACGTTTACATCGAAAGCTTATCTGACATCGCACAGGCCTCCACTAGGCATGCAATTTTTGCGTCACAGACTACACGCATATCCAGTGGAATGGGAAACCATGCCATTCGATTATTTGGAAATGATTGGACACCTTAGGCGTCTCTATAGGGTGATTTCAATGGCATTTACTTTTCAGCATATGTCTTAGTCAGAAGACAAAAATAATAGTTGCACAGCATTTGAAACTTCTGCATATTCTATGCGTCTCCAGAGCAATAGCTGAATGAGTTGCTTGAGATACAGACTACCTGCAGGGCCAACTTGCACCCACCACCATAATTTATGCTCACGCATCTATGCCAGGAATATCCTGTAAGCAGCATGCATCGCCGAACATGAAAACCGGGAACGGTTGTATCAGGGTTTATCGACCACGTCGCATTTATTTCCGTCGGTATATGATAGGAAGTACCTATTTCTCGAGGAAACGTGATGCTGGAAGTGACTATACAGAGCATAGTCAAGCCAACAGAAAGAAATGAATCGGTATTTGTATAACAAGGGTATGGGCCTGTGAGATGGATTTCTGGATTATATGTGTATTACTATGAGGGGATATTGCAGGACTGTGATACCAGAGCAAGCTAGCGACGATCTGCTATAATCTTCATACACATTTGAATTGTGCAACCCTGAAATGACAGAAAACTAAACCAAGCCCCAAAAGAAGGCCTATCAGCAAGATCGGGGAAAATGGAAGGGTGAAGCAAATTTCTCGGGCCTCCACGAGGCCATGCGACAGGTCCCGAAAAGAGTCATTTTCCGGCCGGCCAACCCATTGGCGCAATTTATCATCTTCATTAACCGATGACAGACTCGCTGCCGAGCAGTTCCGTCCTTACCGTGAAACGCCGGTGAAAAGTCCCGCTCCGGGAATGAAACGATCGACATGCTTGGCTAGACATGTAATCTCCGAGCCACTTAGATTTTCCAGCAATGAGGGAAGTCTTGGCACGCCTTTATGTACCGAGTTGTTTTCCTGTCCAGACTGCCGCAAACCCAGAGGCTCAGCCAAAATGAGATACCATATTGTATACGCACTTTCTGCTGTGGTCCCGCTCTGTGCAGCGGCCGATATCTACGTCTCCCCGTCCGGGTCAGATACCGCCGCGGGAACGATCGACGCGCCTCTTCTATCGATCCAATCGGCGGTTGATAAAGCGACAGCTGGTTCTACTATTTATCTTCGTGAGGGGACCTATTCTCCAACAACGAACATTCAGATCACCAAGAGTGGAACGGCATCTGCTCCGTATGTTCTTCGGGCCTATGACGGTGAAAAGGTCACAATTGATGGGGAGGAACTTCCGGGGTATGTTATGCTTCTATATTTTGGTATTGCTTTCTGTGACTTACCGGGATGAATAGAACCCCGGCGGAGCTGGATGGATCGCTTGCCAATGACGACCGAGGAATCTTGCATATCCAAGATGCCGAGTACTGGGAGTTCTATGATCTTGAATTGATCAATGGCCCGTATGGCGTTTATGCGCGCGATTCTTCTAACAACCACTACGAGCGTATTATTACGAGGGAGAACTATGAAACTGGTAGGTAGCGTATATACTATGGCTGTCTGAAAGCTATGCTAATATATTCCATAGGCTTCCAGCTCGAAGGCGCATCCTCTAACAACAGCGTCTACTACCTCGACTCATACCTCAATCGGGACCCGCGCAAGAACGGAGAGAGCGCTGACGGGTTTGCCTGCAAAGAAGGCTCTGGTGAGGGCAATGTGCTTCGAGGAGCGAGACTGTGGAACAATGTCGATGACGGCTTGGACCTATGGTATGCAGTAATTGGTGTTTTGTGGAGAGCTTTTGCTAACCGTCGCAGGGAATTCAAGTCGGCCGTGACGATTGAGGACACCATTTCGTACGGTAACGGTTACAACAGGTACTGGTTACCTATCTCTGCCTGACAGGAGTTACGCTAATAATTCTAGATGGGGCTTCTCACCATTTGAAGGTGACGGCAACGGTTACAAGCTTGGTGGCGGTGACGATGCTGATATCGGGCCGGCCAACCACGTTATCACCAACTGTATCGCGTTCGGAAATTCCAAGGACGGCTTCACCGATAATTCTCAACCAGGTGATTTCACTCTGACAAGAAACACGGCCTGGAACAATGCCAAGGTAGGCTTCAAGTTCGGCACGGCTGTGGCCACGTTGAGCAAGAATATTGCGGCGGAGAATGGAGAGACTCCTACTTCCTTGAGTGAGGAGCAGGTGTCCACAGAAAACTCATGGGACGGTAGCGAATCCTGGAGTAATAGTAGCTTTGTCTCTGTTGATGCGACCTTGGTTCAAGGAGCGCGCAACGCAGATGGAACGATTGATCCTAGCGACTTTTTGTTGCCCAAGTCTGGGGAGGAAATTGGTGCTACGACGGCTTGGTAGATATACTCGGGTACCGTTCGACTGTTTATTGGATCAATATGTATGTATTTATAATTCATTGAAATAGTAGAGATCTATTCATTTGTCCCAGAACAAGGTCCCTGTAGAATTCTCTCCGGAGTAGTAACTCCCCATGCATCCAGAGACATATATTGCGGGGCTTATCTTTTATGGCTCTATTTTATTTCTGACGTCTATGGCTAAAATTCTACGACTCCAAAAATACTTTTCAATCCTTGCTAGTCACAAACCGCATACTCAATTCTGCATAATTATCATCCCACCATGCGGGGTACCTCCAGGCACCAAAACACTGATACCATCCCGAGACCAAATGAACACTTGATGGGCTCCCGATGGCGTGAGCAAGCAACACAATAACACAATCACCACCCACTCCAAAAGCACACAACGGACAGAAGTCCGACATTGACCATAAATGTATAAGAAGGTATCCTAGAGTCCCTCAAAAAATAAATCTGCCCTCGCCCTCAATTGACTTCTCACATTATACCCCAACAACCAAGCCAACATGACCAAAACCACAGAAAAGAAATCATGGATCCTCAATGCCTTTGCGATGTTTTCGCCTGGGCATTTATCGCCTGGTAAGACATATTTCATGTTGGATATATCTCATCTACCCCGCATTCGTCAACGCCTGAGATTCTGTTGCTGTGCGCTGACCAATTGTCTCGATTAGGGCTATGGAAACATCCGAAAGATCGCGCTGGTGATTTCCTCGATCTGTCGTATTGGATTGAGTTAGCGAAAGTTTTGGAGAAAGGCAAATTCCATGGATTGTTTCTGGCAGATCATCTCGGGATCTACGATGTGTATAAAGGTCCGGGGAATAGAGAGCCTGCGTTGTTATCGGGGGCGCAATTCCCTATTGGGGATCCATTGTAAGCATTCCACTCTCTTTCCAAAAAAAAAAAAAAAAAAAAAGAAAAAAAGAAAAACAGAAAAAAAGGCTATATGACGAATGTACCACTAATTTTAACAGCCTCCTAATCTCAGCAATGGCCTCTGTAACCACATCTCTCTCTTTCGGCATAACTGCATCCACCACATACGAAACCTCGCCATACGCGTTGGCTCGCAAGTTCTCAACCTTAGACCACCTTACCCACGGTCGCGTGGGATGGAACATTGTCACCTCATTCCTGGATAGTGCAGCGAAGGCATACGGAATGGACGAGCAGATTCCTCACGATGAACGATATGCGCGCGCGGACGAGTATATGGAGCTTACTTACAAGCTATGGGAAGGAACATGGCGCGACGGAGCAGTTGTCAAGGATCCGAAGACAGGTGTTTATAGTGATCCTAGCCAGGTGCGCGCTATTGAGCATCATGGGAAGTATTTCAAGAGTACGGCTGCGAGTCAGTTGCCTGCCTCGAGGCAGAGGACGCCGTTGCTTTTTCAGGCGGGAGCTTCTTCGTGAGTTTCTTTTTCTGCTTTCTCCTTTATCTTACCAAAGTGATGGCTAATAGGTGGTATTCCGATAGCGCTGGTAAGCGATTCGCTGCTAAACATTCCGAAGTGATGTTCCTACCTGGCCTGGAGCCGGAGAAAACCAAGGCAGTGGTAGATGATATGCGGTAAGATGCTATATCCCTTTACCCCAGACACGAGACTGACAAACAACAGAAAGCAACTAGCCGAAGTAGACCGCCCAGCAGACAGCATCAAATTTATCGCCGGGATCCTCGTCATAGTCGACGAGACGGACGAGAAAGCCCAAGCCAAATACGAAGAGTACCTAGCCCAATCCGACCTCGAAGGCGTTGCGACACTCTTCGGCGGCTGGACCAGCAACGACCTATCCAAGTTCGACGACGACGAGGACTTCTCTTTCACTGCCGTTGGGGGAATCCAGTCTCTGATCTCGAGTTGGTCGAAAACTGTTCCGAACTCTAACGGGTTGAAATGGACGAAACGTCGCGTTCTGCAGGAATTGGCGCTGGGTGGGGCCCATCCTCGGGCTATTGGATCACCGAGTACGGTGGCGGATATTCTGCAGCGGTGGGTTGATGTTGCAGGTGTTGATGGCTTTAACTTCTCGTATGCGGTTTCGCCGGGGACATTTGAGGATATGATTGAGTATCTGTTTCCGGAGCTGAGGAGGAGGGGGGTCATTTGGGATGATTATGAGGTGAAGGGTGGATCGGCCAGAGAGAACTACTTTCAGGATGGGCTAGGGTCGAGGCTGCGTGAGGGTCATCCTGGGACGGAGTATACTTGGAACTGATGTCTTTGCCATTGCATAAAATTATGTCAAATATCCAGTAAGCAGCACATAGTAAATTTGGCATTATGCTACAAGCAGATCACAAAGCAAAACGCAGCGCTTCTACACTGGTCTGCGGGAAGACTAGAAATGATGTATTTGCTCTCTTGTTTAGTGTCTGACGACATCGTGAGAGTGCTTTTAGCCAAAGAAATACATAGAAAAAATAAGAGCCAAAGGAAATAACTTAATCTAAAAAGCTATAAGTGAACTTAATGATCTCTGAGAATATATTACAAGCCACAGAATCCAAGGGCAGAGCATGCATATCGCTATGAAGACCTTAGACAGATATTATAGCATAAAATTGGAAATCAATCGTCACCACCCCTTCTTACACGGGCTATGTATCATAAAAACCTACATAGCATCCCCAGTGTCAGTAATTGTATTATTGCATGCCAGGCGCAATGTGTGCATAGTGAAGGCAGGCTCAAGGAATCTTACCGTGCTGTAATTTCCAGACACGTCCAGAAATCATCTACTGGCACAGCCGGAAGTCGCCAGAGCCAGAGAAATCCTTTGACACTTTCTTATGGATCATGGCTCCACAGTAATGAAGAGCACCATTCAAGTTGCTGTAGACAAGTCGGATAGGAGTCTTCTGTTGGTCCTTCTTCTTCTTTGCGGGGTCCCACTCCTTGGCCTTCGAGGTCGTCCAATAGACTGGGTACTCAAGCATGCGCGTCTTGCTGTTACACTTGTTCGCCTCTAGAGGAATATGCGCCCAGAGCTCTTCCTTGTCTCCAAAGGGATGTGGGTAGTCGCTCTTAGAAGAGTCGGTGGTCCACCCAATCTTTTTAGCCAGTGCTTGGGCCTTTGCAACATCCACCTCAAATGTCTTTACATTGCTTCCGTTCTCATCCGGCTTGCACACGACCTTGGCCTGTATATTTGAAGACAAAGTCAGCCATCATCCTGAGCGCTGTAGTGGTGAAAGTGCAAGGTGGACGATGGGAAAGAACTTACAGCCCGCGCCTCCAGGTTCGTGCTGACGATTTCTTCGCCGACATCTGTTGGAGCTGCAAGGATGGGAGATACAACGAGAGCCAGAGCCAGGGTCGCTTTGGTGAGCTGCATTTTGTTTGATGCGATTGGTATCAAATATGGAATACTCTGACGAGCGAGAAGTACTCTGTTGATGATTTTAGTATTGAGGTTGAGCTCGGCGTGTAGCTGACTTTATATGCCATTCAGGTGCTGTTCTCTATCGGTCTATTCTTGGTTAGAATGTTACTCACCACCTTTAGCACAAGCTGCAGGATTTACGGAAGATCCTTTTTACGACCCTATAGAGCCAATTGTATGTTCTGTATTGAGTTTTCTTCCATAAATCATCAGACCTAAGGGGGCCAAAAACAAGAGCTATGCTCTACTGGGGTATTTTCACGGTCTGAGGTTTAGGATCTGAAGCTTGCTCAGATTAAAGCCTCGTATATTTGGGTAGGATGTTACATTGCTTCTACACCAGGATTGATATGCTGTCAGTTTGTGTAATGACAATACCAACAGTGTTTCTTATCGGCAATCCCGCTGTGATCTGCACGACTCGCGTTCAATGTGGACCGCTGCAAGGGACAAAATAAGTCAGTATCGGCGTCGTTCCATGTGCTACCCCTGTCTACAGTGCCGATCTGCTTCTAAGCCTCTGTTGTTGGTGCAGTCAATAAATCTGGTTGTAAAAGATGCCCCCACAAATACCACCTTCCTGAGCTGGCTTAGTTTCAGACCCGGAAAGCTCATGAGAGCAGGATTCCTGCCTGGGGCGAGTCCGCAGATCGTGTTTGTTTCACCTTCAAAAAGTCGGCCGTAAACCAACTTCCGTTCTAACCACGTGACACTCTCCGATATACCCATCATTGCTGCCGCGGTTCTACTACCTTTTACATCAATCAATTACTCCCGAACTAGTGAGCAGCCTAAAGGTAACCTTCTCGTCCTACAACATGGTGTCCGACAACAAAGCGTTTGAGCCACTGGATATCAAGCTCTTTGCGCCTCATGATGATGAGGAAGACCTCTTCTTCAAGAACTTACTCTTGTCCCTTGTAGGGGGAGAAATCACCCCTGACCAGGCCGCCAATGATCTGGATAAATGGATTGTCGAGAAAGCCAACAAGGATTTTGAAGAGCGGAAGAAATACCCAGACCCGTGGAATGTACCCTCGCCAGAAGACCCATCATGTGTAGCACCAAATCCGAGTGGCCTGATTACTTGTTTTTTCGAATCCTTCGTGCGGTTAGGTTCGGCATTTCCACCCGGCCACACTGGCCAGGACAGACTGATTCAATTCTTGGAGGCCCTGAGGGCTATGCCTATGCATGAAGTCCCCAACTATCTTCCCAATGACCCCCCGGAAGACTGGTACCACTTGCTCGAGTTGTGGCCGTTTGGGGCCAGTTGGTTGGGTTTGACTGAGGTATTCCGTACAGAAGCAGAAGGTACATTCCTTTCTTTTACAGTCCCCTTTTCATTCAATGGTACCGATATTTTAAACCGATGGGGCTTAACTAACTGTCTGTCTCCCTGTTGTGCAATTTAAACAGACTGTGGCTATCCATATGCTACCTTTGCAACTCTCGGAAGTGACATGCAAGTAGGATGGCGCAACTGGCAATCATTCCTGGCACGCATTACAGCCTTAGGCTTTGTTGACTGCAGCTTTCTCTGCTCGTTGGAAGGAATCCTGCCCCAGTCGATATTGCTAGCCGATAGCAGGATTTCAGGAGATGTAATTGGCGGGGCGCAGTGGATTCTCCAACCAGACTCTGGAGCATATGTTTATCGGCAGTGCAAAGCGGTGGAGAAGGTTTCGGAGTTGGATTCCAGAGCGATGTGGAGCTTGGAAAGATGGAGGCAATGGAAGGTTCGATTGGCAAGTGTTTCAAGCGATACTAGATTCGCTCCTGAAGTCCGAGAGATTGCCAAATCGGCTGTTGATCGGATGGTCAAGTTAGATACAGAGGACTGCTCTGTAGCGGGTTCTGTATAACTCCCGAACGTCCGCAACAGCTTAGAAGAATACACATTAAGAACTACATAGAACTACATATGAATTATAGATTATGATTCTATGAATTATTGCTTAAGGGGGCGGCGGGTAGATTGCTCTAAGCTAACCGTGCCCACAGACGAGAAATAATACGGAGGTATAACCATTATCGACATGCTGTTAAATGTTAGATTGCAGTTGGGGCCATAAAGATGAAGAGTAGGCTGTTCAACGGTGTGAAATGGCGCAGTGCCCGGGATGGCGCTTTGGCCCCCAAGGGGGCTACGTATTCCTACACATGCGGCATGGTAACAGGATCCCTAGATGATACTGTGGAGTACGTATACACTCCCCCGAAATAGAGGAACACTGATCGGCACTCCCAAGCTCCATCATGCTCCATTATGAAACGCAATATGAATTAGCGAAAGCTCAGATGGCTACAAGCGAGGCATTAGGTAGGCATGAAAGCTTCAATGAAGTCGAATACTGGTAGTCGAGATCCATAGATAACACGTTACAGTGGTCATACAATGACCCTGCGCCTCTTTTGGATAAACTAATGCGTAGGAACAACCTCCAGACCAAGCCTACAAAATAGCTAAAGTAGTCTAAAACTCAAATATATCTGTAAATAACAGAACATGACTCTCAGCAACATGCCATACTACAGTATTTCTGATCTGTAAAGGGCCCTGGCACCACCACCACCAACCGCACAACCCGCTAAACCTAGTAGTTGGAGACTAAAGTCATTAAAAAAGTGGTTTTATTGGTTGAAGACACAGCCTCTTGTAGATCATCAGGTCACCCGAATTAAGTGCTGGACTTCATGTTTCTAGACCCGCATACGCAGCCTGTACTCCATGGGGAACCATAGCATAGCGTGTATCGACTTTGAAACTCCACTGGCTGCGCACCTCCGCTTCATCGGCAAACCCGATAGCATCGGCAAGCTGCCGAGTACCACTACCACTTCGGGAGCTAACCGACCTAACGCTTTCAATTTCCCCTACCTCGGCCCATCCCGTCGCCCAGATTCTCGAGTGGGACTCGCTAGTCTGCAACGAAGGCTCTCCGATCGATTACTTATGGAAATGAAACAAAACACGATCCGGGGCGAGCGGCACATGTGCCACTCCATCGAAGCCATTGGTCCGCGCCAACGATCCCTTAACCACATCCATTGTCTAAATGGGATAGATCCATGACCCAGAAAAGCTAAATCCAGATTTAGGTTGGGTTTAGATCGAGGTCTTCGGCCCAGCTTTGGTTCCTGGGTTCCTGGGTTGGACGCAGCGTGGGTATCAAAGCGCAATAGCCAGTACAGCGGGGAACCTGTACCGCTCTAAGGACATCACAAGCAACAATTTATTTCTTTATCTCCACGGAGGCACACCTTTTCCGTTCGCATATTTACCTACTTACCTCGAGAAACCGTACTACGGACTCGCCTCGTATTTTTGTTACTTGTGCAGCAAAAGTTATTGCCGTTCTAGGTGAAAGATACACTCAACCCATCGATTTTGCCTCCAACATCACTAGCACCATCATCCACTCATACATTCAACAATGGATTAGGTCGCCCCATGAGTTTCATAAGTGCTTTTCTGGGAGAGGTTGGTCTCGGTGATTGCAGTCAGTGCCGTGGGGGATTGGCGAAAGCTACTGGCGAGGTCAGACTGGGACCTCATGCTTTGGTAAGATAACAAAGACCTTCTGGTGAATTTAGCTATGCGACGACACGAAGGCCTCACTTTTATATCGAGGATAAAAGTCATGGTACTAAGATGATAAACCTAAGAAGGAAGATAGTTGTAGCAAAGGATCTATTGATCATGCACAGGTGACCAGGTATAATTTATTCAATCCCTATCAGATTGATCGTGCCTCGCACCGATATCCTCACTCTCTATAGACCACAATCCTAAGCCATCATGATTCAAAAAGCCCATCCTAAAGCCTCCCACAAAGCACCACATCCTCCCCAAAAGGATACCACTTAACATCCCTCAATCTCGCCGCCGGCACTACCTCACCTCCCTCAACCCTGCGTCTAGGCGACACAACAACACCCCCCTGCCCCAACCAAGTCGGCGCAATAGTAACAATAACCGAATCAACCAGATGCGCCCACCCCGGTTCAAGAAGCGAATTGATAACCGTCCCACCTCCCTCAATCATGACGCTCTTCAACCCTTCATTCCTGAGACACTCAAGCACAGCAGTCCAATCCAACCTCCTCTCCCCATTCCCATCAACCAGAAGATCAAGAGGAATGAACTTCCCCCCATGAGACTCCAACAAAGTCCTCTTCTCAGCAGACGGGACCGTCCCAGTAGAAGTAATGATAAAGGGCGCACGGCCTTTCCCCTCTCTTACTAGCTCCAGGATCTTCGATTCCTTAGTAAATTCCCATCGAGCACGGGGATCAAGGACAATCGGTCTCGGTTGGCCGTCTAACCCTTCCCCGCCGTAGCCCCCGACACCCTCGATCCGGCAGTTTAGTCCTGGGTTATCGGCTACTGCTGTCCCGACACCGATTAGGATGGCGTCGTGTCGGGAGCGGAGATAATGTGTCATGGCTTTTGACTGTGGGCCGGAGAGGGTGGTCCGGGTTCCTGGGGCCAGAGCTAGAGAGCTGTCTAGGGAGGTTGCGAATGTGAGGGTTGTAAAGGGGAGGTTGGGTTTGAGGGGTTCGGTTTCATTTTTAGGTGGGAGATGGGGTTCTAAGAATGTGCGGTTTGAAGGGGGGAAGGCGAGGGCTTCTCTGAACATGTTGTTTTGTTTCTTTCTTTTGGTTATTATTGGGGTGAGTGGTTTTGTGGTGAGGGGGATTTTTGTTGGTTTGGGGGGAGTTTGATAAGATTAAACTGGAGATTGGAGTGGGTCCTATTTTTCTTGGCTTCCGGCCAATGGAGAAGCGTGGTGGATGTGGAGAGGTTATGAGGACTACTTTTTACTACTTTTTACTATTGACCGGGTTGTACATAGTGGGTCGAAGAGGAGTTTGATTGTCTCCTCCGAAGGAGAATACTTGGATAGTATGGTTCTGAGGATTATCACAAGTTAGAGATCTCAGTAGTCTTCCTGCCATGTAGATTAGAGGCACTGAAGCTTTTACTCAGGCAGATCTCTGAGGATGGCAAGCTATTACATGTGTGTTCCGATCACCCCTGCAGTTCCTTGCCGCATTCCTTTAATCAAAAGGGTCTTCGTCATGGCTCTCTTCCTGTTTCTATTATTCCAATTCACGTCTGTCCTCCCTCATCTCGTTCCTCGAACCCCATCGTATCCCGTGGTCATCTCGGAGGAGGTGAAAGGCTATGCCCTCATCGTCTGGAAGATTGCCGTTATGTTCACGGAATACTGTCATCTGTCACTCTCAACGAGTAGTCGACTGTGTGAGGGGTGCCTCCTGGTATCGGGCTTTACTAGAGCAATGCAAGGCTTGGAAAGAGGACATCCTGCTCTTGCCTGGCCAAGGGTCTGATTGCATCGTTTCCAAATTTGGTTGAATGGAAGACAATGTAGAGTTCATCGCGGTTCGACGGTGCGAAAGCGGATTGTGCCAACATGGACATACAAGAGGAAGGGTGATGGGGGCACGTTGTTTCGACGCGAAGAGAGGCTAGGGAGGGGGCCATTGATAGCAGCCAAGTCGACAGGTAGCCTATATGGTGTCAGCGAACCTTCACGGAACAAGGGGGTAACCAACCATCTCCATAGCTAGGACTCCCCAGCCTCTGTGGTTTGCAAACTATGCTGCGATCTGTTCAGTGCCTTCAAGAGTACATCGAAATTCGACTAGATGTACATAAAGTTACGACTGTTTCGGGAGAGTAGTCTATAGCGGTGATAACGATAAGCGTACCATTCGTTGTAAGGGAGAGGGATAGCATCGCAGGATGCGTGCAGGGCAACACGAGTGTTGGCTAACGGTATTCTGTCTAGGCATGAGAGCTCCTTCGCTAGTATGGGCATATAGCAACAGGCATTGCAGCTCGCGCAAATTTCATGGACGCGATCGGTCGGTTCGATAACGACAAGTGGTGCTTGTCCCGGCCTGCCTGCAAGAACGCGATCACAGATGACCGGAACTTTAGCTATCTCTTTACCTAGACATTCGGCGAGATTGAAACTTCAACCATTATCTTTACAGGTCCCTTAATGTTGTTATCAGTACTGATATCAGTAAGGAGATTGCTAAAGAAGGAGCATACTATAGCGGGTGTTCCGCTACTCAACTGTTGGTCCTATTGCACGCCAGTGTCCCAGTCACAGACCTTTGTGTGTGTGCCCAAGCTGGGACATACTCCGGCCCGTGTTTTAATGGAGTCTTACCTTTGCCATCATCCCATACGACAGCGGTCGAGCTTAGTGGGAAACAGTCATGTGGCCCACTTTGTATGGAGAGACGGGTCCCCCCAAAACCGGGTCCGGACAGGGGAACGTTTGCGCAATATCCTGCCCACCAACTATCGTCGGTGGTACCACGTAGGGGAAGGACTGGCGGGGGTAATTCAAAATTTGCAAGAAGCTACACACGGTTGCAGCTCACCAATTTTTGGAATCATGACCGTTAATCAGAGGGAACACTTCCAGACTATGTGCCCTTTGTCCCTAGGCCATAAAGTCAGATACCAATTCACCAAGGATATCCGCAGGGCTTCTGTCGTACAATAGATTTCTCGAGTAGGTCATCACTCTACCTTATTTCCAGAGCTTTGTGCGCAGTGGTAGTCGAGAGTCACCCTCATGCTGAGTGTGGGCAGGATCTTGATCCTTCTCCTCATTGTGATGGCCCTGCAAGATCTTTTGCTTCACATCGTCAACTTTCTCATGCAGCGCACGTACTTTGTGTTTGGTTCGGGTGTATCCCTCGATGCCCGCGAGAACGGCGTACGACTTGCTAATGGAGACGTGAGACATGTCGACCCCTCTATCTTGGAGGGAGTGGATAAAGGCACGAAAGTTTGCTGCTGGGGGGCGGTAATGGCCACTTTTACATGGTTAGTAGTTTCTATAAGTTGAAGACCTGGAAGGAATATACCTCAATGGTGCCAAACTACGAAGCTGTCCATCCCGGACCTTGATTAGACCTGCAGCGGCAATGCGAGCACCTCGAAGAAATGATGAATGCTGAAATGCACCTGATTGCTTAATCCCGATATACAAGCGAAAGGAGGTATCGGCAACCTGAACACATTAATGTTAGGATACAGGATCTATCCAAATGATCGGGGAACTTACGAATATCCACATATCTTCCTTCTTCAACGACTTGCCCCTTATACTGCTGAGAACTGTCGACGGACTAACATGTATAACCTTTTTCAACGTCTTAACTGCTTTATAATCTTCGTTCACATATTTTTCTTCCGTTTTGCTGGCGCACATGTCGCTATCAGAGTCGTAATCTGATGATGAAAGTGATGAGATGGACGATGAGGAACTCGTCAAGAACGAGTCCGGGTCACCCGCTTCCGTATTCCCTTGGAACTGCGGTGCATCCTCGTCGATATGCACAACCCCCTTCAAGCTGTCCTTGAACCGCCTGTTATTCGTCCATACGCGCTCATTATTTTTCGCCCATCGGAATAACCCAGCTTCGTCCACAGTCACCAGATAATTCATCCGTTCTTCACGTGAGAGGTAGCGCACTTGTTGCCGCTCGAGTTTGTCGCGCGGACATTGAGGGAGGTCAAGATCTTTTCCTTCGCCGTAGTCTAGCCAAAAGAAGAAGTTCTGAGCGGTGGTCGAGTTCTTCCAATACGAGTGGTACACGCGCAGGTTGCTACCATGACGGTGCTTCAAATCCACCAACTCGAGGAAGTACTGCAAGTCCATCATTTTCGCTGTCGTGCCGGGCGGCAAGTCGAGCTGAGCAGACGCGGACTGTGAAGCTGAGTTACCGCAGGATTGCCGCGTCTCATTCTGGGTGGGCGAAGTGGATTCCTGGTCAAGATCATCGTCACCACCTGCCCGTTTGGCGACACTGACAGCCCGCTGCCAATTACGCCGAGCATGTGCGGAACTATCATTGTCGACGGTAGCTTCTGGAGCCGATGGGCGATGGAGGAGGCGCCATTCCGCTTCTTTGACGGCCTGGCCGGGGATCACTGTGAGATAACGAGCTTCTTCAGTAGCTGACAACGACCTACCTCTACCCAACGCGTGGTCGCAGATATTCCACAGCCTTTTAATTCTCGTCGCGTTCGATATCCGCGATATGTTCTCTATGAAACGACCAGTTTAGGGCGAGAATTCGCAGACAGACACGCTTTCCGTACCTGAATCACTCTCGCTGCCCACTGCTCCTTATCAGTGACGTCATTCCTCGGTGGTCGTTCCATTGGATCGGTCGCGCTGTCGAATGCAGCGGAGGGAGGAGAATGTGTATCTTTCGTCATTCTATATGTATATAATAAAGTATATTATTTCCGATAATTTTAAACTAGACATCTGTGGATATTAAAGAGGGAAGAAGGAGTGGTGGAAGAGAAAAAAAAAAAAAAAAGAGATCATCGCGTTAGGAACAAGAATTGTGTTGGTGTTGTTGATCTGCGCTTGGCGTCTTCCCGTGACCTCAGCTGAGAACGATATTTATGGTTAAAACCCCTATAGAAAAATAAAGTAAAGGTCTACCATCTAATCATTATTTTCCTACTTGATCCTCAACGTCACAAGTCGGGTTGGCCAACTAAAGCCGCATTTTCCAAGAGCCACGATGTCATGTTCTTTCCGATAAGTCGTATAGTCCACTCCACAACGGCTTTAAGCGAGGCCATGGCCTGCTTCAACGAGAACTCCTCTTTGCGGATACGCAGTTCGCGATTTTAGATAACATTGTCCGGCACAATGACAATTAATATTGTGTATTGAAGCTCATGGGCTCATGGGCCTGAATTTTTCATATACGAGCGCACGATCAGCCCACCTGGCGATATGTACTGTCATAACGATAACCGTTTGATGTTCGTTGAATGTAGATTCCGATAAAAATTTGGGTTACTGGGGTTGTTACAGAACGTGGCTCAATTTTGAGATAACTTGAAAGAGTCAAGACAATGATCACGTGTTCCTTGCGAGGCAATTCAGGGGCAGGGGATCCAAAGACTGGCCTTGATTTCATCACACCTGTCATTTTCCTATACCCGAACTTCAGAGCAAATCAATCTTTGTTGAATGCTTGTGCCTCTTTGTAGGTGGTAAATCCACATATAGGGCCAAGTGTCCCCCCGTGGTCCGTGCTCACCCCCACTTCATATCCCACAATTTATGCTCCCTTCCTTGCCGTTAACCACTACAAGAGAGGCAACTTGGCGTCATGGCTGAGAAACCTTTACTGAACACGGCCACGTTCAATTCTCCATAGCGTACGGATGAGAAATGGAGACCTTCTTACATGTAACCATGTCTTGCTCTGTGGCTTACGGAAGTGGCTGGAATCTTATTTTTTACTCTTGTAGCAGTGACTCAGCTGTAAAAGGTACGAAGACTTGTATATAACAGGAATGCTCATGACTACTATTGCAAGAAAATACGTCTAAAAGCTTAGGGTTCTGGTGGATTTGGGTTTTCCTGGCATGCTACCATCAGAATTATGACGTCAGCTGCAAATATATATACCCGTTAACAAAATCCAATGAAATTCAGCCTGCATAGGCTACTTTTCAAAATCCTGTTTTGGTGACTCTATTCAAACTAGATTGACTGCATAACTAGTGTCCATCTCAGGCTATTACTGGGCAGCAGTTGACTTTCAAAGGCACTGTTCACTAGTGAAGATGGAAGGGTAGTCAAGGAACAATTAGAGAGATTCCTTGTTTAGGCTGGTGTTCTCGATCACGAGGCCGACTTGACGTGTAAAACCGGTCTGTGGACGCGGCTTTTTGAATTGGCTCCGTAGCTACAACGGCCTAAACTCGCGTCTTATCTGTGGAAGTTACGTAGAGTACTAAGAGGCAATATATCGCCCCATAAATATAGTAAATGTCTCGAGTCTGTATTTGCTACCCAGAAGGCAAAGGCCTAAACTTTCCCTATCAACTAGGAAATATACTGAGTGGCAAGAGCATAATGACAATTACCAAGTCAGAGGATTATAATGTCGGGACTTATATAGGACATCGAATAGGGGAGCTGGGAGTCCGTGACTACTTTGTCGTACCTGGTAAGGCCACAGCCTTTGGAGGAGTTGGCTTGAACACGATCACTAACCTCATGGTAGGAGATACCAACTTGACCCTCCTCGATGCCCTCCTAGAGAACCCACGTCTTCGAATGGTAGAATGCTGCAACGAACTGAACACGGGATACGCTGCAGATGGTTATGCACGTGCATCGGAGGGGAAAATGGCAGTGGTTGTCATCCCATACATAGTCGGCGGTCTATCTATCCTGAACGCCATATCGGGTGCTTGTTCGGAGCGACTCAAAGTTATTGTCTTATCGGGTTGTCCACCTACTAGCGTCTTAACTGGGAATAAACCGACACACCACACACCGTCCCCGTCGAATAAGGATCAAGCTCTCCACGCCTTCCAAGGGGTGACAGCTGCATCAGTTCGTACCAACTCTGCCGAATCCGCGGTAGATGTGATTGATAGTGCCATAGTTAAATGTATTCGACAATCACTGCCAGTATACATCGAAGTTCCAAACGACGTTGCCGGCACCCCATGTCCTTTCCCGATACCCTTAGCCCAGAAAGTTGAGCAAGCGACCCAGCCGAACAAAAATAGCGAGGCATTAGCAGCCGTAACGGATCTGTGGAACTCTTCTCACAGACCAGTACTATTACTCGGAAGTCAGGTACAAGTATGGCTCTCCCGAAATATTGTCCAACGTCTTGCTGAGAAACTCGGCTGTGCGGTCTTGTGTCAACCAGACGGACGTTGCATATCGGAATCCCACCCACAGCATTGGGGCACCTTCTGGCCTAGCTTACTCAACCCCGAAGGGGAGAAGGTTGTCCTAAATTCTGACCTTTGGCTAGCCATAGGAGTCTCCTGGTCGGACTTACATACCCCCTCCATTGACTCAGAAAATGAGAACCACCGTTTAATCGCCCTTCAATATGACAGAGTTGAGCTACCAGGGGATAAGGTGATTGACCCGGTAACCGTTGGCGAGTTGGTCTCAGCAATGATCGACAGCAACATTATTCGCCGGACGGAATATCTTCCTAGTCCTAAGCCGAGCCATCCCGCTAGCATCCAGACCGAAGTCAAAACTTCCGATGATGCATTAACAGTGCGAAGCTTGCTATCAGGTATCCAGAGTATGATGCTAGAGGGCTCCACATTGGTTGCAGATTCAGGCGACACATGGTTTGCTTCCAGCCATATTGAATTGCCAGATGGGGTGGACCTCTATATGCAACTTCCCTATGCATCGATCGGATGGAGCGTGCCGGCCACCCTTGGCGTTCAAGTAGGTCGTCCTCATGGTCGCACTGTTCTGATGGTAGGTGATGGTGCCTTTCAAATGACTGCCCAAGAGATAAGCACAATGATTCGAATGAAACTGAATCCAATCATCTTGTTGTTCAACAATCTGGGATACAAGACCGAGGTTAGTCAACCTGCTTCCTTTATGTAGTCCAGGCTAACTGGGACTTACAGACTGCGGTACATGATGGTCCATATAACTATATCGCTAATTGGGATTATACCAAGCTAGCCACCTCATTCCTCGACAAGCCCCATGCGCAGCCACCTAGCCCGTATGAAACGGAGAGGCCAGATAATGATGATGAAATACCTATGTTTGCCGAGAAGGTCCATACTCAGGCCGACCTCCTGCGGGCGATAGACAGGGTCTCCACAGAGAGCGACAAACTTGCGTTCTTGGAGTGTTGTATCCAGCCAGACGATATGACGCCAGAGCTGCAAGCGTTGGGAGAGAAGGTGTCGAAGGGGCTTTCGAAATAACGGGATGCTACGCGTACCCTAGTGTGATGAAGCGTATTAAAATACGATTGCATAGTGAATCGGAGATATTGGTGTCAACCTATATGGTACAATGCAAAGCGACTGTTTAACAATCAAGGAGGCTAGCAGTATCTCAATTGTCACGTGCTTGCTTTTCATAGCCCTCTGTTACTCCAGGAATAGCAATAGTTTCTAAATGCAAGCACAGTTCTCGCTACAACTACAGCCAGGCCGTCTTATAGTATGCTCACTGGATAAGCCGATTGGACCACATAGTTGTTCTTCATCAAAGGATCCAATATAGCCACCTTATAACAACATTAGAAGTCATTTGCATGTGCAGATTGGTATACAGCAAAGGAGATTTGTTACACTAGAGATTTAGAAATGGGCCAAGATCTGTCAGGCGCTAATCATGGTGACCTGAAATGAATTCTGCACAATCACCCCGCCTTCGCGCACTGTTGATCTCGAATCTGTTTACAGTACAAACGACACAGCCTTCCCCTACGCGATCTAGCTAACAAACACTCAATCACGCGCAATAACTTCTTTAATAGATCTCAATCGTTTCCTGTTCATAGCAGATATGAGTGATGTGGAAGATTCTGACTGTGAAGATCTTCACTCTTCACATGGGCGAGACTATGACACGTTTATGCAGGAGACAGCTGGGATCCGCCGGCTTTACGAGGCTGGAGTGCCGTTTTTTACAAAGGAACAGCTCCAGGACCTTAGTAGGCAGCTTAAACAAGCAGAGACCTCTGAAAAACCAGAGATACTTATCGAAGGATTGGAGGGTACCGAAGAAACCTTTGAAGTCAGGACTGGCCTTACCAGGGCTGGTTCTGAGCCCGGCACAGAATGGGTTCTGTGGGTTGCTTTGGATTCTGCGAAGTGAAGAGTTCAACTCAGACTGGGCTGACCATTACTGTTCTAGCAAGGCACCAGCTATCGAATACCGCACGTTTGGAAAGCTCACCTCATACAGGGCGTACCGGATGGATGGGTATAGTGACCTCAGCCTTAGGGTGCTCCACTACATGGAGTTGCGCGACGAAGTCACCAAAGAGTTACTGCCAGGGTTCCGCTACGCTGTGGATTCGGCCGAGATTATCAAGAATTCTTTCACGTCTTGCATCCAAACCTGGGAAGCCAGCGAATCTTACGCGCAGCTGCAGAAGATCGTCGAATCGCGCGAGAGTTTTCCTCCGATCACGAAGATAGTTGCCCTCGCTTTAGGTTCTATGCAGCCTCGTTCTATTGACAATGGGGACCACAGGTCTGAGTTTCAGCATGCTTTGGCCCTGACATTGCGTGGCCTCGTGGGTAAACGTCAGGGACAGACAACTGAGAATGTACAATGCTACGCACAGGACCCTGCATACACTGATATTGACAAGTCGATTCTCAAGAAATACGATATTACTATCCTGGAGGATCCAGATGCATTTCTGGAGATCGATGACTCCACTATTGTCTTGACCTTCGCACCGGATGTGCCTGTGAGACAAGTCGTTGCTGACATTGCTCGGCCTGCGATGATGATTTGGAATACATGCGAGGATGAGAGATGGATGCATAACGGTCGTGAGCAGTTTATGTAAGATTATCTTGTCGGCCAGCTTCGTGTACCAAGTGTTGACCACAAACAGGACGGATCCCTTCTCTGCACGACTGAGAGAGATGATGAAGTCTTATGACAGGATCGAGTTCTTGAGTGACGAGGAGAAGTTTGGAGAGGTTGCGATCTTTATTCGGCTTGAGTAAGCATGTTAGAAGCTATTTACAGAGTTCTGCCTACTGCCACTAGATTGGCCATCGTATTGCGAATCTCACGTCCTCTTGTAACGCCTCTGACATCGTCAAGGAATAAAATTTAAGTCAATGTATGTACAGCTCTCCACAGTTGATTCTATCGGGGCTTCGGAGAATGATGGCCGGCCGCTCCACTCTGAATTTAATAGGGCAGATACAGGCGTAGATGTAGCTGGGACCTCAATGACTGAGTAGCAGCAATTAGGAAGAGCCATATAAACGTGGTAGCGCTAGTAAAGAGATATAGCCATGTGTACATTGCTCATAATCTTGGCGTTCACATATGCAGTAACAAAAGCCATGTTCAAGTAGCGCTGCTGCTACTGCTTTCCAAGCTATATAAGAAAAGATTCTTCACGAGGCATGTTAGGAAGAGTAGCTTAGACGTCGCTATGCTGGAAAGTTCTGAATTGATGAATTTCCAGTGGCCTGTGCTCAGTCCATGGCGTTAACCTGATGGTCGTGTTCGAGATAGGGAAACGTAAACTTCGTGACCGTGCAAAGTCACTCCAGAGGAAGATAAACCTAGTCTGTTCCGACACATTCAGGCTTGCATCTGCGGTTCCATCGTCCGACCTGTTTTGGCTGAGTTTCCTTTACTTCATATAACTCTTTCGTAATGGGGTAATTTCGGGCCTCACTGTGATGTGATACATCTCTATCCTGGCAGTCCGGTCCCAAGCAATATCCAACATTGCGTTGAGTAGCGCTCTGTACACCATTTGACGCAGAATTGACAGTGCCTGGCCCCTGTTCGGGGGCACCGCCTCTGTAGGTTTCCTTTCCCCGAGTGATGACTTCATTTGCCCTCTAACCTCCCCCAAGACTTGCTGTGTTGGACGCATTTTACATGCAGTGCCGTTGTGGTATTTATCCTATAAGCGTGCCTTTGCTATTGAACCGGACAAGGGCTTGGGTCTCGCCCTCTTCAAATGTCGCAAGAACTCCTCTAAGGGTTTTGCAGTTCCCCGCGCCCGAGTTTCCTGTTTGACCACATCCGCAACCAAGCATCCTACCTCATACACCATTTCAAATAGCAGATCAGTCGATAGATGTCGGACTTCTTCGTTCTCAGACATATAATTCAGGAGCCGTTCTCCGCGGTGAATGGCACCGCTCAATGAGTGCAGGATCTGGCGATCCTCGGTATTCAGTTTTGATTGTGCCTTATAAACAGCGTCATGTTCAAATTGAGACCAAGCATGTCGCAACATAGAAACAATTTGGACTTCGACTCTCCTCCTCCTTAGTCCGTCCCGTGCCTGTGGCTCGTCGTCTCTCAAATATACCCAACAATGGGTGGCGCAATACCCTGGACGCTGGAGAATGTTGTTGGAGGTTTCCCAACCAATATTGTTGGTGCCTACTGCTCCATAGCTTTTCTTCAACTCGATGTCGAATCGTTCACATAGCGCGTCTTGAACGCGTTCAATATCCTGAGGGAAGCACACGGCGATACGAACTCCTGCTAGGTCTGAAATCTCGTCTTGGATGGCTTCTTTCGACGGATATAGTTGGCCACGTAAACTCTCCCGTTGAAGAAGTTTGCGCTCCAGGCTAGAAGGCTCCTTTGTTCGGTGAGTGACAACCCCTGGAAGAAGCTCGGCTTGAAGCATCTCGTCGCATATTCTGGCGGTCGCTGGTGCGTTACGCGCGTAGATCCATCTTTTATTTTTGTACTCTTGCACGAAGTCAGCAACAACGGAGGTCATTTTTCCAAAAAGAGTGGATGCTATAATATTAGAAATTATGAATTGTCCAGCGAGTTTCTTCCTTAACCGTTAAGAATGGCGCCTTGAGCGCAAATATAACATGTTGCCGACTTGGTGAGGCTGAGGTAACAAGAGCTGAAAAAAGCACAGCTGAGGGCCCATGTGAGCTCTAGCCGAAAAGAAATACCAATGGAGAATCTATTGATGATCGCCCGCGATCCAGAGGCCTGGCGGGTGGGTCGCGATGCCGTATCGGAGCACTGGTCGCAACAATAAGCGAGGGATAGCGCCAGCGCGGCCGAGAAAAGGCCAATCAAGGTCGTCCACGCCATTAGTGAGGTTCGTCCACGCAAGATCACCTTCCGTATGGTAGCTTCTGACTTAGAAGGTTCTTCAGAAATTGGTTGCTAGCGTGGTGGATCCTGTCTCCGCCAGCCACCTGGCCACAAGGAATGCTGATTTTGGACTACACATTGCCTTCTTCATCAATACTGTGTAGACCTATAGGATGGCATTTATTATCCTCATCCCAACCCGCTACCTCCACGTATACCTTCGAGGGGAACCAATTGACTAGTGGGAGTGAAGTACCCAATAGAACAATGTTATGCAACGTAGGGCTAGCTCACGTCATGGATTGCACCTTAGTCTGATCCACGCGCACAGATTTTAGTTAGAGTTACCATAGATAAATCGGAGATGCGAGTATTCCAGTCATAAATTATTTGCAGGAACTATCGTCTTTTAACACTGAATATATTGATTTCTGCAGTCGGCTAAAATATCCAGCAGCGACAAGGGATCAGCGTCGTGATGGTGGAGAAAGCCTGGCGCTAACGAACTCTCGTTTTTCGCTCAGCTCGCATCCTACGGCATCAGAGCACGCGCTTCTTTTCCTTCTCTTCTCTTCTCTTCTTTTATTTTACCTTATTTCTTTATTTCTATCTTATTTTATTTTTTTTTTCTCCTTAGTTTAATTTAAATTTAGTCATATTTTTGCCCACTGAGCCAATCTGTCGTGAGTGAGATATGGTCACCGGGGTGGGACGAAACAACTAATGATATTTAACAACATAGCTAACATTCTCATACGATACGCGTGGTACCAAGATCCGCGAAGCTTGGCCGCCTCAGAGAAAATGGATGTAAAACCAATCGGCACTTGTCGTGGATGTTAGAAGGGATAAGATGTCCTGCGGCATCTTTGTATGAACACCATAAATTTTGACAGCTGTGAAAAGTTCGAGACTAATCGGGGTCACCCGCATAAAGCTCCAATTGTTGTCTATTTCATTATTGTAATTCATAGGCTTTTCCTGAATAAACTAGAGGCCAGAAAGTGGGGGTTGATTTACCTGGAATGTAGGGATCTCTCTCTCTGGAACGACTCCACTTCTGGAACTCGACAGCACCTCTTACTAGGGAGTTTACACCGGATTTACGTAGTACTTTGGGCTGTCTTCCATGAGGATTCACATTTCCGGAACCACTGTTTTTGTCGGATTATTTCATTACCTATTGAGAACTAGTCATGGCTTTTATATAACAGGTGTGTTCGTGTTCCATAGTATCATCATTAGAGAAGCATAAATGAGTAATCTAGTTGGAGAATTTCGACGGGACTTGTTTTCTACATTCAAGCGTGAACAATTAGCTATACTATACTTTCTAGTATCGATCTATAATTTGGATAACTTACCCAGTCATACTCTCAAACTTGTTCCTCGCGCCATCTGTAAATTTCTCATTGGTCTCTCGCACCTTCGGATCGTCGGGGTTGATGCGGCCACCGCCGAACTTCTTCTCAATTGAGTCGAGACCTAATCAATTCATGAATATCTAGTCACATTCGAAGAGATCCCCGAGGAAGATCAGACAAAGGGTATATGGAGATTGGGTACACACCCTTATCGACATAGTCTTTGTCGTTGGAGCTGCCACCTTCCTTGTCCTTGGAGTGGCTACCGCCGCTGAGCTTGGAAACGAGTTTATCCATTTTCTTGATAAGGTGAGATAAATTCGAGTGTGGTGTCTGTGTCGTTAGATGTGGTATAAATGATTGCAGTGCTCAAATGATTTGTCTTGTGGGAGGTGGTAGTACCCAAACTATATATCCTATCTGAGTCTGTCTTTTGGTTCACTATGTCATAGACTAATGATGTCAATTATAGGTGATCGGGGTTACTGTATCCCACCATGGATCCTCGTGAATTGTTACTGTGTAGCTGATGTTTCTTTGGAACGGAAAAATCCCCAAGATTCGATTAAGATCAAGCCAGGGACTTGATTGACATATTAGAGTCGTAGACTATGATGTCTTGCGACTTAACATAAAGGAACGATGACGTCATGAACCATCGAATTAGGGCATATTTTCCGAAAAGGGAAATCAATCATCCGTGATTAAAACGATTGAAAATATTTACAGTGATCCGTATATCGCAATAAATGTATCATCGATCAAAAGACCAAGGGGGTATTGTTGGCGTGAAGTCAGGGAAGAAACTAACATACTTCGGTGAATTAAATGGGTTCTCCGATTGGATAATATCCTCGTCAACGGGGCATCTTTGTTTAATTCTGGTATATAATGAACATATATTAGGTCGACAAGGGTATAATGAAGCATTCTATGTATACACCGAAGCAACAAAAGATATATGGAAACAGTTTAGACGAGACAGTCTCCAGACTGGGAAAATCAATCCGATCTCCAACCTGAGTCAGGCATGGCTGTAGTAGTCTGCGTGCGGATGCTGCCGTTTTCTTCCTCCAAGGTAGGTGCATCTTTTGCCTGCATATCATCGGTGATACGCTCGAGAGACTTATTTTTTCCCTCCTTGTCCCTAGTCTCAGGGATCCACAAGGTAGCAATAAGACCCATCAACATGAAGAATGATAGACTAGTGTCGGTGTTAGAGACCGTCAGTGGCATTCAAAATCGACCGCCACGACAGTGGTGGACCTACCAGAGAAGTGCATATCCTAGCCAATTCGGCACATTCCGCCAAGTGGCACCATTACCAAAATCCACATACCCTAGGAAGCATTGTGCCAGAATGGAACCGAACTTTCCAGAGGCGGCTGAGATGCCATGGCAAGTGGCGCGAAATCGGGTTGGGAAGAGCTCGGCAGGGGTCTAGATATGTTAGTGAGGCTATAAAGGGTTGGGAGAGCCAGCAAGGCTTGCTCTGATTCGACGTACAATATATGTTGTGGTGTTTGGGCCTATCCCGAACAAATACATAAATCTTAGCCATAGTTTCCCCTGAAGTACGGAGTGATCAGGCACTTACCAAAGTTGAAGAATATCTGAGTCAGAACGTAAAGCACGACCAAAGCTGATGAGTCACCGTGTGTGCTCAAGTACCGGAATGAAGCACCAATGATCACATTGAGAATGAAAAGCCAACAGAAGCCCAGCAGCTGCAGATTGCGCCGCCCGATTCGGTCGATTGTTAACACTGCTATACAGCTACCGACGATAGCGCCTGATGATACGACCACGGTACTCTGGTATGACACCCGGAGGAGAGATCCGTACACTCCTGCAGACGGAATATGGTTGCCATACCAAATGGTATTTATAATGTCCAGATTCATCAATCCCAATCCGTAGAACGGCAGGTCGAGACAAAACCAGCATAAAGATGTTGCCACGAGCGTCTGGAGGTTGCGCTTTTGTTTCAGGAAAGTTCTGAAGTCTCTCCAGAAGTGGATTGGAGGGCTTGTGGCACTCTCCAGCTCCACAGAGCTTGATTGCCGAGAGATAATAGATGGGATAAACCCATTTTCGCGAGATTGGGTGGGAGACAGTGATATCGTCTCTCCGACTGGATGAAGCGACTCATGGCCTAGACTCGAAGCCGAGGAAATCTCTGCGGACCGATAAAACTGAGAGACATCTGCAGCAGCCTGGAGACTATTCTGCATGACATCGGCGGTATAACGGGGAGATTCAATGATCGTCAATCGAAACCAGATAGCAATAAACGCTGGTACCGCTCCCAGACCTACTATTAACCTCCATATGATATCTAGATTCCGAACACAGGATCCTGTGCACTCTCGAATCTCTGGGTCATTAGGCAGACTATGTCGAAAGCCTGCCACAGCGATGAGAGCGACGACAGCTGCCGCAGCCGATCCGAGTGATTGGCAGAGGAAGACGGCCGCCAACATACGACCCCTTATGCGAGTGGGTGCAAGCCTAATGCAGAAGTTAGCTGTGTCATGGTGCAAGTAGAGGGCTCACGAACTCGGAGCAGATAACAGCAGACAAGGGGTAGTCGGCTCCCACTCCTAAGCCCATAAAGAACCGCCAGAACAGAAGAACGCCGATGATAGACATAGAGTCAAATTTACCCGAGGAGGCCATAGACATCCCAAGAGTGCTGAAAATCAAAACGATCAACTCCAATCCATACATCTTTCGGCGACCCCAGATATCCGCGGCGATGCCAAAAAGAATCTGGCCTACGAGCGCGCCTGCTAAGGTGATGATACTAAGACCGACCTCATAGTTGTGAACGCGGTCGGGTTTGGCGTCCAAACTACCCCAATAGACTTCGCTGATCATGGGGACGACCATGTTGACGGAGAAGATCTGCAAAGTCAGTCGCTTGAAGTGGCTCAACCTGGCATTAAGCTTACACAGTACGCATCAGCAAAAAAGCCAACGCCGGCGACCACTACCACCCAGAGCCATTCCCTCTTTCTGGCACTCTCCAACCGGCTGATGATAAAATTTCGCCTTTGTGATGGCTAAACAGCGAGTTAGCTAGAAGAACGGAGTAAGCTGTTCGTATTGCCATATGCTACCTACTGCATGATGCTGGAAGTCCTCATAGTTCCCCCATGGGTTCAGATATAGCTTCACCCGAGGTAAGAGACCCATGTCACTTGCGATAGTGGTCTAACCGTCGGGGACGAGTAGGATCCTGACAAGTATTGTCTTCGTGCAAGAAACGAAAGGTCGGAAAGGAATCCGAGAGGCGCAGAAAGAATGTCCTACCGCAAACGCTGAATTGTGCACCAAGCAAAGGTGCACCGAGGGGATACGGGGGATACCTCACAATATATCAGCTCCATGATCACAAGCGGCTGAGGCTGACAATGAGGCGGTATTTCCCTTTTCTTCGAAGTTGCGTTTCTATTACTTACATTCACTCTTCACTAAAGTTCAGGAAGTGCCCTGCCCTGGGATGGACTGAGCCATGCATCGCTTGGGGAGATCGGCTAAATTGATGTCAGACATCGTATACAAGACTCGGAAGGCAATCCGCATGCGCCCTGTGGCTGCGAGATATATTCAATACAAGCATCTCATCTCAGCACGTTCCTGACAAGGTCTCCACTATTGGTCTGTGGGACGACACTAAATGGGTGCTAAAAGTTTAGTCTCCGTGCACCGCCGCCACGAGTGGTTGCCCGTCACTTCCGATAGACTCATAATAATCTGGGATCATGCTTATCGTATATGCATTCAAATCTCCGGTCTTCCAGAACGTTAATGGCCTCTTATATGCGCATGGGTCGGAAATGCTCCAGTCGAAAACGGTCTGGGAGCCCACATCACTCTCTGTGAAAGTGGTGGCATGACGATTAGTTAACGGGGTTTTTATTGCCCAGTAATTATTGCGATACCCCGTGGCTTGCTGTCCTCACTCAGCCTCATTACCGATTAGTTGGAAGCTCTCGTGATCATTTAGCGTACCTCAAGAATACGAGATCCCCGGTAGTCGCTTCTACCTTGCTTTTGTTTTCACCCGCTGTTCGATTCTACACCGAGATCTGCAATAACAGTCCACCTTGTGCAGAGGGTACCAACAAGCAGGCACTGGAGGTGATTGGGCGAAACTACCCCATAGCACATCTCACCATGACCCAGGTAGGCGTTGGAGATATCATTACTGGAGTCAAGTTTGTCTGGACGGTTTATGAAAGCGTCCGAGATGGCCCTACAGGTGCGGCAGGCGACTTCAACTCCTTTCGTCAGGAGTTTGACACTATCAAACTACTACTGGAAAGGATACAGCGGGTAGAGAAGTCTACCTCAACAGACGTCCGTGATTTGGGGGTGTTTTACAACGACACAATTCAGGAATGCGCGCAGTTCGTCAACAAGCACAAGGTGCTTACACAGGATAAGTCATCAACTGGTAACAGCCGTCGTGGTAGCCTAGGCAAAAAAGTCTCCAACTGGTTTGAGAAAGTTACCTGGCCATTAGAGAGAAGTGAGGCCGAACGGCTTCGGCATAAACTTGAGCGCTGTCTGAAAGTGGCAACACTAAAGTCTACTGAAGAAACACGCGATGCAACTTTGGGGTTTATGCGGACAGCGGAGAATAACCAGTTAGAGAATCTTGAGATGTTGAGATCTATCAAGTGAGGGCCACCCTTCGTGACAGGATACTATCTGCTCAAGGCTAATGTCTTTTAGGACAATGACAGCACAGATCTCCTTACTCCTCCGGCGATGCATTATTGACGGCCCGATAGACACCGTACAGTATGATACGCACCACTCAAGCCAGCGTGGGCACCGATTGAGACCATCCGGCCTTCGGCCAGAACACATACTTAGTGGAATCCCGGAGGATGACGAAATGCCTTCAGTTGACAGTCAAAGGTACCAAAAAGTTTTAGATCGCATTCGTGAGATCTCCGAGAGACTGGGAAACCTTACTCGACGGCTTGATACACACGGCGGCCATGGTCTAGCTGTGGACCCGCCTCAACCTAGCAGCCGCAAGTATACGTTGGACTCTGACGGGCCCAATGCTGAAACACTGACCGTTGCTGCCATGGTTCGCTTCCTGCATCAGGTCAGCGATGATGTGCGTGATGCTCTGGAGACAGTTGGCTATGGACATGAGCTCGTCCCCAAATATGACCCTTCGCAGAGACATCATGCCCTGGCTAAACCTGTTCAGTCGATCAATGATACCGCGGAGGAATGGGAGCAGTTCCGGCATTGGCTCGACTTTCAGCTTGTGCACGCCTTCAATACAAACTCTATTGATATGAAACCATCCCATCCATCCCAACCATTGCTCCTTGACCTCTCTCCGTCATCCGAGTGCCTCTCGCCGCCGATTCCCATTACCCGTACACGCTCCGTAGAGTCCGACCTTTCAATTGGGTCTCCACAGTCAACTATCTCAATACCGATACCGGATAGAAAGATTCCTCTTACAACTCACCCGGTTCAAGTGTATGTGTATAGTTCTCCATGTGAACGCGTTGCTCTACATTACTAATGATTTTGACTTTTATCAGGGAGTTTCCGGACCCGAATATTCCCAACCGCACACTTTTTCGCACATTGACCTGTACAGTTATGGCTTGCTTCAATACCCAAACACATGAACCAGAGGCGATTGAAGCAGTCGATATCAACGGAGGAGTCAAAGTCACCCAAACCATCATTCGCGGGTCTACTACCGTTAAGAGCTCTATGTTGCCTTATGTACCGAGCAGTCGAGTCCCTGCATCGTTTTCAGGTGCCTGCTCTCTCTGGTTCCAGGGCTCGCATAAGGCGAAGATTGAAGATCAACAGTCCATCATGAGATACAGTATCTCGCCGATTTATAAATGCCGCGACCGCAGTGGTAAGTCGTACCAAATGGGGTACCCGGATAGGCATGAGCTGACAGGAGACGTACGTGTAGATTTTGAGAACTTTCAAAGTGTCCTGCTTCGAAGAAAGGTCGTGGCGTGTTTTGATGTGAGAAAAATATCCGCTGGATCAGATTATTACACCAACTCATCAGAGACAATCCGTGTCCTCGAAGACCCAATTACGAGAGCACTTTCGTTGCTATTCTTTGCTTCCTTCCCAGGCACGTCTCGCCGAGCAAGGTTTGTTGATATGCCAGGTGAGTGTTATCCGTATCTTCTTTGCTGGGAATATCATCTCAAGATGCAAGCTTATCCCTCACAAGTAAACGGCTTGGGCATACCCAGTCCGAAATCAAAACATATCAAACTTCCGTTCCAGGCTGCTTCACGCCGCAGCTCTGTGGACAGCGCCGCCAGTGCCTTTTCACAGGAGTCACGTCAATCCACTTTAACATCATTAGGGTCGAGCCCACGGAGTAAGTATCTGGAGCTGGAGTTCTACGAGGAAAGGGGTATGTATATACAACTCTGAGAGCCCTTGCCAAATCACGTACAATCTCTCTAACACTTATTCAGATTGTGCCACATTCGTCCGAAAGCTCAGGCATGTAGGCGGGGCTTGACCGGGGATATGCATGGTATTCTGTATCCTTCCAAAGTCAAAACCAGGGCATCCCTTTTTATTGCCAACGCGCCAAACTTACCAAGAACCTCCTTGGAATGGAAGCTCCATAAGTGGTCTCCTTTTTCGTGGCTAGCTGTGAGCTGGTCGGCTGGCAGCCTTAGGATACGCATCTCAGGGCCTCGAGCATGGCTTGCTCCTCTACCCGGACTTTTGTTTGCTCTAGATGCTCTTTTGTATGAAGGGCTGCAAAACTATTTTCACGACGGAACCTGTATGTGATACCCCTCAAGAGTGCTTTTTGACATACAGAGGGCCCTCACGGATGGTATTTTCGCTGCCGGTGGCATTTTCATCACACTTGAAGGTTGGACTGGGCCGGAGACTAGATATAGTTTTGGTCAGCAGATCTAGCCTGAGTGTAGGCGCTGACGTGAGGTATCAAGAATTGTTGAAACTCAGACGGTATGGCAGGTTAGATACCTGCATTGTACATAGCTATTGTTGTGGTTTATGATAGCATGAGGAGAGGGTCTAGTTGTCAGTACTATCAAGATTTACGGGCAATGTTGCAATTGCCTGCTACAGGTATTTGAGCTGTTCCAGCTTCCAGTCCCTCAAACTTGACTTGTGGCTTAGCATAAACTTGGTTATGGTTATATATATACTTTTATTTATCACGCTGAGTCTCTCTTACCAGCGAGTAGTGATAATAAATTCACTTGGGATACCCTTGGATTCCTCTCCACGGTTTGAAATAGCTTGTCCGTGATTGGGACATTTGGGCAGTACTCCAGGAACTTCTCAGCAACTGCATTGAAACATCTCTCCAGGACAATCACTCCCATTCCTTCGGTCGCGTGGATTGGTACTCTGTACCGGCACAGTTTCTGGATCATATCATCAAAACCGTAGTCATTTTTCAGCTCCCAGTCGTATGGATAGCCTTGCAGAATAGACTCCGTCAATTCGAAGTCTGTATGTCCAGATCAACAGCCTGCCAAATCTCCTCCCAACTTGCTTTCAAGTCCAGATCAGGCTGCTCGGAGAGAATAAATTCTGCCGCACCCAGGTTCCAGCCATACATCGCCTGTGTGAGTACATTTCGCGTTATTGGTGCAGAATCCACACGACGCAAGATGGATCTCATGCTGTCCAGGTTATGGTGTGACCTTACCGCAGCCATCATGACCTCCTCCGTGACAAGGCTATGATTCTTTTCTGCTTCGAGTGGTAGGCGCACTGAATCAGGGTCTTCTGTTGCCCGTATGAGAGCTTGATGCGTGATGGGGACATCCGGCTTTCTGCTAAGCAGAAGCTCCAGGCATCTACAGTTGCAGGCCACTGTTTCCACTGCCCATGCATCGACATCCACCAGATGTTGTTCAACAATTAACTCCAACACTTGAACTGATCCTCAGTAGCCTTTTGCAATTTTGGTCATCATCCTTTTGATTGGCAGATCTTTGTGAGGTCGCGAGAGAAGCGTCAGCATTGCGTCCTTTTCTCTACATGCAGCTTCATACACTGCATCAGTTATCGTTGCCCCTGGACGTTTGTTCAGAATAGTTTCAAGTGCCTCTGGATTTCCGGTTGCTGCGGCGAGGACATTCTCTGTAATAGGAAGGCCATCTCCCTGGACCTGAAACAAATACTCTATGACAGACGAACCACGCTCATAATTCGCGGCTGCTGCGCATACAATAGGCTCGGTTATTAGAACCTTCGCGCCGCCTTTGGTCCTCAGCATTCGCAGTAATTCTATCGCATCCGATTCGTGTGAAGCAGCTATCTCCATCATCCCCTCAGATATGACGAAGCCCGCTTGCTGCCTGTCGATGACCAGCTTCACCGTGGCTAATCCGTTCATGACGAGGTTTTCGCTTACCTTCTCGGTCAGCGGAGTAGTTGGGCTGAGTTCCTCGATCAAGGCTTTCAAGCTTTTACGATAATGGATCTTTTCGGCCACGCAAAGAATCATTCTTTCGGTCACTGGAGAAGTTGGACTAAGTTTAGCAAGCAGGAACTTTACAACATCTTGGCCTTCGCTGTTTGTTGCTGCGGTGAGAAGTACCGTCTCACTAATCTGCGTGCCTAGCTCTCGCCGATCGAAAAGCAAACGAATCATGTCTACCCCGAGCTCATTGGAAGCAGCTGCCCTTAGAGTCTGCTCAGTCACTCGAATATCTGCATGGGTCCGTAACATGAAGCCCATAGCTTTCGAGCTCGCATTACGTGCCCAATATGCAACGCTATCGTCGTCCACGCGGAGCTCGGTCGCCCTTTTCATTAAAATAACATCGATTCCGCTATAGACTCCAATGGAACAACCCAAGTTATATTTATCCAAGTCCGCAAAGAATGAGGGGCTGATGTGAATATCCTCATTGCATCTCTCGAAAAGCAATCCCAGCATTTCTTCCTTAAAAGCCGAGTCGATTAACGCACACCGCAGCACCCTATCAGTAATAGGAATGCAGGCCTCGTGTCGCCGATCAAGAACAAGTCTCAGCAACTCAAGTCCACAATGTCGATTCCATATGGTCCTCACGATTATACCTTCCTCAATAATCTTGTCGGGTATCTTGGATTTATCAAACAACAAACCCAAGTCCCAGGTTAAGTTGAAGATTGCTTCCAGTTTGGCCTTTCCAAAATATTCATGATTAATACGGCACATCAGGTTCTCGGCCGATCTCTTGTCGATTGTAAGGTCTTTGCTCAGCAGCAACTCCACAATATCAAGATGGCCATATTCGACGGCGACGGTCAATGCATTTCCTATAAATGGACCAGAGGACTCCAGGGGATCCGAACCCTGGGCGAACAATGTTCCTACGGTGTGTGGCAGGCCCATTGTTGAGGCGCGATAAATTGGTGGCTCGTATTTAGGCACCTTGTGCCAAGGATCTGTAAAGTAAGCTTTCGTACATTCATCTCTCCGCCGCCAATTGAAGTAGATATTAGGCTCAGTGAACAGACGATCGATCTTCCCTTGTGTGTCTAGTACGTCCCCTGCCGCAGCAACATGAGTGCCCCAGTGACTTGCCGCATAGACCAAGAAGAACTGCGACATAGCGATCTTCTCTGTCAACGTCTCGTTCTGCGAAAGGAAGAAAATCGATGGTCTTTACGGCCAGCTCATGGTGGCCTTTAATTTCTGGGAACTGGCACCGGTGGTCATTCTTAACATTCTCTGACGCCGCCAGGTATTCTTTAACAGAGAAATGTGCAAGTCTAATCGCTCCGTCCGTGCTCACAATGACAAGAGAGGTTGTACAGATCTTAATAATGAAATCAGGGGATCGCAATGATACCGCTTCTGCGACGGTCCGAACATCTAGCGGCTCAGCAGCAAGGCACAGGAGAAGGAAGATTTCGCGTGCTATGTTTATATCCTTTTCCTGGATCCTGTCAAGTACTTCCCGGTAAGTCTCCTCAAATGTTTCAGGAATCGTCCGTAGTGCATGGTCTATCTGTTGGTCGGTATGGCAATCCGCAAGTCGTGTTATTTGAAGATCAGCCCAGCGGAAGCGCCTAGCCAGTGTTATAGGTTAGCCCAATTATATCAGTTCTTCAAGTAGTAAAATGGTTAACAATACCGATCTCGGGTACGCAGTAACTGTTCAAGGGTGCGAACTTTTTTTGTCCTCCGGGAGATGTCGTAGACGACCAGTGCTAACTTCAGCGTAGACAAAGGTTTCGACATCCTCTGCTAGCCGTGCTTCCAAATCAACAGTGGGAAATCTCTCCAGTGTAGCACAAATATGTTGCTCAGGCCTACTCGTTGCAAGAATATGAAGCTTATTCGTATGACGCTCGTTGAGACCTATCAGGAGTGATAGTAGTGTCTTTCTCTCATTGCGCCCCGACCGCTCGGGACACTCATCCAATGCATCCAGCATCAGAAACATTTTACCAGGAGTGTCTAAAATCACTTCATCAAGGGTATCCAATAGTTCCTCCCGATCAGGCTGACTGCCCCGGTTGTTATGCTTTTCCCAAATCCTGGTCACAGACTGTGCCAGCGGCTTCCGGCTAAATTGTCGGATCAAGGACCTGAGCAAGTTTTCTACGGTCCGTGTCGTATCATTGCTGAACTGTAAAAACCAGTATACAAACAAGCTGGATGAACGTTCCTCGCAGAGACGTTCAATATCTTGTATGATGGTAGAACTGGATGGATGTGGTTAGTATACATCTTTCTCTATACAAATGTTACCCTACCAAAGAACGGACTTTCCACAGCCCACTATTCCATAAAGCCATAGGATGTACCCGGGTGAATTCTTCCAATCCTGATATTGGTTTGAAGTAAGAAACCAGTTATTGGTATTAGGGCTTCGGAACTCCTGTGTTTCTTTCTGAATTCTGGAATAGTCTGCCGTGGAGACCCAGTTCAGGATTCTTTCCTCCTCCGCAGCTGTATTGGTCAGTATAAATTATGCATACGATGATATATTTGAAATCATACGCAACACTTTGGACTCGATATTCTTGTTGACAACAATGGACTGATCGATCTTAGCGAGAGTATTCCGAGCAATTTCTCGGTTGCCTAACATCTATTAGAAAAGTATTCAAGCAGAATGACGAACAATCTCACGTAGACTATCGCTCAAGTGTGCCCACTTGTCCGCACCCTCGCCCTTCTCCTTGACGCTTGCTTTCAGTTGTTCGAGTGGCTGATCGACAATTGCATTGATGCTCATGGCTACGCGAACTTTTGAAGTCATTAGCCTGGATCTGCTGTCGGCATTGATCCCTGTTGGTGGGCTTTGGGCTTACCAGCAGCGTTTGGCTTCTGCACCTTATTCACTTCCGCTGAATATTCTAGGAGTGCCGTATAAACCCCAAGAAGAGCATTATCGAGATTCTGGTCGCTATCGACGTGCTGGTCCCGATGATGCGTATCAATCAAGGTATAGAAGGCGAGAGTGTCAGCAAGGTACTCCGATGCTGCGTAAACAGTGTCTCGACGTTGAATATCATTTTTGGATCATCTTTCACGTTTAGCCTCTAGGCCAAATCTAACCACAATAACTCTATAGGTGTCCTTACGGTCAACCCCAATGAAACAACCGACCATGCAGCAGATGCTAAATCCTGCGTTAGCGAGTGTTGTATTTCCCCGCCATAAGATAACAATCTCACCATATCCAGTCCGATCGAAGGAAAGCGCCGTTGAGACAAGAATTTTCGCATTCATCGCACAATTGAGAATTTTCTCCGCTGAATCGCGAACATTGAAATCGTTCCCATCGCGCCCGCGAATTTTGAGGCCCCCCGTTCTTCCACTCTTTGTATTTCTGCTCTGTGGTATTGATAATCTTGTCGATCGCATGTACCGTAGAGCATCCCTCATTCACCGACAGGTACTGTTTGCGGTCGTCGGGCAAGCTGTCGAATGCTTCTTTCCAGAGATCTCGTTTGCCCTGTTTCTCAACGATGGCCACATTTGGTTTGATGTTTAACGACGTCGGTGTGACCTCTAGCTGGTTCTTTTTGTGGGGAATTTCCACTGGGTGCGAAGGCGCCTCATGGCCGTCAGCCGTATCTGCCTTTCCACAGCAGAGTTTCCTATTAAGTGTGTACTTTATGACGTTGGGAATGAGGTGTTTAAAGCATGGATTGACGCTTTATGATTGTCGTAGTCGAGTAGACATGACTTAAGATTATTTCTTTTCACTTATTCCTATATTTCGTCTTTAAGTGTAGTGGTTGAATGAGCTTTAGCCCAGGGAGCGTCACCTGCGGGTATACACGACAAAAATATATATCTACAATCAGGTGACGGATTGGTACTAGTTGTAAACACTTTTATCGAACCCTGGAAACTCTATTCCGAGGATCTGGAGTATTATTGCCTATATTAAAAGAACCCCTAGGGCTTACTATGTGTTTATATAGATCTATATCTAGGTTTGACTGTCATACGAAGCACCGGATAAACTCCCGGGTTCGGGCACGGGACGGGAACTAGTCCGGGTTAGGGAGGGTCTCGCCCGGCCCGTCAAAACGCCAGGTTGCCGGGTGGGTTCTGCTGGGATATTCAAATGTCATTGCAGCAGTTCGTGGCGTCTTCGTAATGAATTCGGATTTAACCCTTCGTTGTGCATCATATAGGAAAAAAATAAATGGCGTACTGGGCACTATCGATTTTACTAAATGGAAATAAGCGTAAGCACTTCCCATCCCGAGCTGATCCAAAAGGAAGACAGGGCGATAAGAAGTGGGAATAAGCTATGTAATTAACTGAAGAAGATGAGAGGAGAAAAAGTCTAGATCATCCTTGTTTCCCTTTTTCCGACGATAAGGGCTACGATCCTCCTAGGAGCTCAGCAATTTCAACTCAACTGACGTCGGTAGAAGGGACGCCTCTGCCCGCAGGGTAATTGTGAGCGAATGGAACTCGGGTCCAGCTTCCGGAGATGAGGGTCGAGCCATTAGAAGCCCAGCGGTACTCACCCCTGAGCGCAAAAAAGAGCAAAAGCAAGCGAGTCGGAGCCTGCCACCCATATCTTATTTTGGATGAGGTCATTCTTGGTACAACTTTCAGCAGGTTATAGGAGGACGTTTTTATTTATTGTATCTTATTTTATTTTATTTCATTGTATTTTCTTTTCTTACTTTTTTTTT